CCCCAAAACCCCAAAACCCCGTGCTTCATTATTGGTCAAAATTTGGCTATTAAAATTGATCAAAAAGAGATTTTGCAATAATATTTATTTAATTAATAAGAAAATGTATTAAGAGATATTCTTGGTAATTCTCATTGCTGCTATTATAAGATATTATTTCTATAATGAATTAGATCTAGGAACGATATACAATTTGAATATAAAGCCTTTAGATGAGAATTCTGTGATAATTAAAAAGCTTCTAATTTAACCATGCAGGGGCATAAAACCGGTAGAGGTTTAACAAATTAAGATTTCAAATTTAGGCATTAAGTATAATAGAGAATGGAGTATCTTCTATAGAGATGATAAAATGTGTGCAATCACTCATGGCCAAGAATAAAAATTGAGCTTGCTAGAACAGAAAATTGAGAAAGATATTAAAACTAAACTGAGATATCTTGTGATTACATGCATTGATCCTATCGAGGCAGCTAGATTACCCAGTAAAGATTTAAGAATTCAGATAACTAAGATTAAAGGTCCGGTATTTACTGCTGCCAAAGGTCAAAAAGGTATTTCAGAGGGACCATTTGCTGATGAATGGCTGTCTAAGTTAATGGGTAAAAACGTATTTTTGCTCAGATCAGCTACAGACTATGTTAAGAATGTACCAGACTGCAAGATTATTCCAAAAAAAATTCAAGGAGGTCAAGCAAAAGGATTTATTTCAAAAGCTGCTATTAAAATTATGAATGAAGCATCAGTTAGAGATTTAAAACAGAGAGTTATTTAAAAATTAAAACTCGAAGAAAATGACAAGATAAAGATTGACACAATAGCATTCAGACCAAATATTGTAATTGATTCATTTGAACCATATTCTGAAGATGCTATTTAAGAAGCAAGAATTGGAAGTGTAATGATGAGATTAGTAGGATATTGCAATAGAAGCAATTTACGTCCAGACTAAATTGATACCTTCGATGATTTCTCTTGTAAAAAATCAAAAGAGACTCTTGCTTAGTACAGAAAGAATGAGTATGGCACATTATTTGGAACTTATTATCAAGCAGAAATTATTGAGTCATAGTCATTATTCAACAAACTCTTTACAGGTTACCATTAGCCAAATTTTAGAAAAAATTTATAATAATATGGAATTATTAAGACTTATGATGAATTCAAGGTAAGAGTAAAGGGCAAGAAATTATTCTGAAATAATAATAAGTGATTGAATATCCTTAAGAGTGGACTTTGGACATCTAATGAACTTTTGATTTAAGATAATTTCAGAATTTAATTTTTAAATCTCAGTTTTTGTGATATTCGATATAAATATTCCGCAAATTTCCTAATCATTTTCATAATGTTTTTTGAATTTAAAAGTAATGAACTATGGGGTTTTGGGGTTTTGGGGTTTTGGGGTTTTGGGG